TTGGGGCTGAGGAAAGAAAATTTATGATTATGACACCTCTAGATGATTGCCGGAAATGGCACTCTCAGACCTAAATTCTAATTCTAATTTTCCTTTGTTTTTTTTCCATTTTGAAAAAATTAGGGCCGGCTCGGCCCCACTTGAATCTGCCACTGATTATTATGGCGTCATTGCGAGACTGCGTCAACTAACACTGAGGTTTGTAAAATTTTGGTAGGCTTAGGCCTATCATTTAATCGAAATAGGTAGACATCATATCCGTGAAATTAGAAAAAACAGTAATCCTATGTATGTAGATAATATTAAACACTAGTATATACGTACGGGTCATAATAATATACAAAAAGAATAAATCTTCTATATTAGAAATTGTGCACTTTTGAGTTTGTAAAAATATTGGCCTAATAAGGATACATGCTTCCAATTTCAACAACGTTCAGTACATTGTTTTCACAATAAATTTAGCCTCTGATAGTCGTTGCACCCATAAAACCGATCTAGTAGGTTTCTGAGATGGTTACAAAATGTTTAAACAATTGCGTTTTTACTTGGTTTTGGTGCGGAAAATACGTACCGCAATTAGAAAAGTGAACAGACAAAATTCATGAGTCATGCGTAATTGTTATTCTTTCCATTCGCTTGTAAAAGTGGGGTTTTAATTGTAGAAGATTGGTGAAAAGTGGGGGAGGGGGGCCAATCAATATGATGTTCCTCCCCCGCGTCCCCCTTTCCCCCACCAATCGACGCCCATGGTACCAGTAGTCCGATTATGGGAATTGACCCATGGGCATTCATTCTGCAGGAATTCTCATTATAATTTTCTTAACGACACATATTATACTGACACTGACTCCACTAAACCACAGACCACATAACAAATTGACTTCACAGGTTTAGTGTAATCGTATATAAGGGAAATTCATAAATGCATCCGCAATAATGGATCCGACGGAAGGCCTTAATTGGTTTCGGGGAAATATCAGTTGTAGATACCAACAGGATATGTAGTTCATTCGATTTGCTGATATAGAAACGTTGCTGGTGGAGATATCGTTTTCAGTCATTATTTTTTAGGGTTATTTATTTCTTCCTCCGAAACCGCATGGAATTCTATGCGTTGGCAGATCACACGGGCTTGGTGTACCAAGCTCGAAGAAAAATTAAATTCCTTTAAAGTCCGGCTCCGGAGGAAAACAACATTTTTTTGTATAATAGGTCTATGTTGTGCAACTAAAACTCGGGGCGGCGCACCTGGAATCTTTTTTAGGGGTTCTGGACTACTCCTGACCCGCTAACTTTCAGTAAATCGCAGTATTTTACAACAACCTTTCAGAAACTTTAACAGCAGGTGAAGTACAGGGGCTAGGAATGACAGGGCTATGATTTGATTAATTAAACTTCGTTAAATTGGTTTTAAACAAGTCGTGTTATTTTATTTCTCAGTCTAAAAAGCTAATATTTGATTGAAATATACAAAGTAAGTCATTTAATTTTATGAGGTACGTTGCAGTATAATACGTAAAGTCCAGGGAGACATTCCACCTAACAACGTTTTGTTTTCCTTATCAGATTTGATGCTTTTAAGTCTGTCGTTCAGGATCCCTCTATTGATATTTTTTTTTTATTCTTCCAAAACTTTTAAACGTAAAATTAAGTTATGTATCTAGTTATTTTACTTTTGTTTTGTATTGATTGTCGTCCTCCTTTGTCGTGATTGCTTTTGGGTTTCCATTTTGTAAGTGGCGGGTTCCCCGCTGTTGAATGATGCGAATTGAAATAAAATAAAAAATAAAACAGTTTGGCACGGATTTAACCACCACATAGGCATACCTGTAACTTCTTTTTGGAGCAAAATAAGGGCCTACATAGTACATATTCAATTTGACGAGGTAAACTAAATATATATTGGTTAAATAAAAATTATCTTATACGAATTAAATTTAATTGACCAAGTTTATATCATGGGTGGTATATAGGCCTATTTGTGGGAAAGAGACAACAGGACACAAATTTCTCTTTTGATTAATAATTACTGTATTACCATTCGACCTGAGAGAAGTATAACATCCCTTGTTTCCAATATATCGATATGGCGTCACTATAGACAATATTCACAAGTTTTGAGCAAATCGTTCATACACAAATTACTAAGGACGGGTTAGGGTTATCGTTAGGGTTCAAAGATTCCTACAGGAAAACACCCTTAACACAATAATCTTTCTATTCATTCCACATTTCTTTAGACGGTTTACGGAGTGACATCATAATAAGTGTTGACGAAGCGAAAATACAGTATGTATAGTATTTACTGAACTAAATGGGCATCTATCCTCCAATGAAATTATAGGAAGCGACCGAGGTTAATGAGTTTGATCTTGAAAAGGTGAAATTCATTGCCAAGAACAAGGGTCGTGTCACTGACAATTTATGTGGACATTCGAATCCGAATCATTATTTTATACATTCACTGCATGCTCGTTATCCACAAGTACATATACAGTAGGTGTTATCTGAAAACATACCATCGGCTTGTTTAATATTTCGCGAAAGATATGTATTATATTTTGAAATGTATTCATGTCTATTATAGTGCAGAGGAAGGAAATCCAAAATGCAGGACTAAAATATAATTATTTATTACAGCTGATTAGTGCCTTATGTAGAAAAAAAAAATTAGTGTTGAATTTATAACCAACCCACAAAAAACCCCAAGTGTACTACCAATACAATATTCAAGGAAAGCAAGTCAAAAGCCTCTTTCATTTTTAACAAAAAAGCAATTTAATACCTGGAATGCTTTAGGCATATTAGTCACATAAAACAAAATGAATCCCATCCAGATTTGGGCTTTCAATAACTCATTATTCTATCAATTAAACTTTCCAAAGACGTTTCTTTGACATTAGTCACAAACACAATATAACATTCAAACCAACACTACAAAAATGTCAGGTATTCATACTTGTTATAACTTTCATTTTTGGTAAACAACTCTGCGCTTATACACAGCTTCATTACTCCATTAAAATAATCTTAAGTTATCCTCATTCATATAATTCATTATATTTTACCCCTTTTTCTAATATCACCAATCCTATAATACATTGAATATCAATTTTTGTATATATACTTTTTTGTTGTCATAAAAACTCGTTGATAAACAAATGGTTAAATCAGAAGCAAACACTGTAATTTAAACATCATATTTTTTGTAGCAAATTATCTTAAAAAATTACATAAACAAATATAATCATTGAAGCAACAATCAATACATATTTAAGTATGAAAAAGAAAATATCAAAATTCACTTTAAAAAGCATAATATATAATCAAAATATTTACAAATTCAGTTTTCAATAAATATTTTCCTTTAATAACAAACTGTAACTCCTGTTTTTAACAGGTACCCTTCAATTATTTCATCCATACACCCTTGAGATGATAACAATGCTGCTGGTATCAGCATAGTTATAGCTCTATGGTATGCGTGCGCTCTACATGTGGGATGTTTCCTTGGACTATAGATGGAGGTAATGCTATACAATGTACCTCAATGTTTTTAGCTAGGCTACCAACCATTAAACTGCGGAGTCACTGTGAAGAAGTTATAACCTCTAGTAAAGATTAAAGAAGACCGAAGCACACTATGTGTATCACCACAATCTCCAAAATATAATTTACAGTACATATATAATTATGAAATAATGCCCAATATTTAGTCAAAATACACTAAAAGTGATACAAACAATTATAAACCATTTCAAGTACTAATACAGTAATCATTCTTATAACCTCAATTGTTTTGACTGTAGTCTGTTTTCATAAAAAAAAAAACAGTTTCGCTTATCTATTTTTTAAGATTCCAGACTTTAAAAATAATTAAAAAAAACATGAAGATATTGTCAAGAATCCATTATTTTTCTTTTTTGTTCAGAAATTACCGATTACTAAATTTCCACTGAATACAACTAGTGAAAAAAAATTGAATTACTCTATGTTTATAACAAAGAAAGAAAGGATAAAAAAATAATGGAATTTTCTTTATAATATATCAAGAATTTTGCTATTTCATTAACCACGTGTTTTGTTGTATGTAATAATACCACTAGAGGTTTTGAGATTTCCTAAGAGACTAATAAAACAGCTAGAAACAAAGGAAACCCCTTAATAAAAGCCACTCCAACAATAATGTGGTTTAAAAAGAATGCAATTTTAACTACTGTACTACAAACACATGACTCGCTACAGTACATTAGAACAAAACCACAAACAAGTACTGTTTTTGGGATTCATCTGAATGAGTCAATATAAAGAGGTTAAAATAATTTCTTTGATAATGGTCAAGTGTCTTGAATTGGTTTTAGTTTCTTTACACACAGTATCTACAGAAGTCAATTTTTGTTTGGTTTTTCTTTTATCAACAATATATCTCCATGTTATTATCACCTGTAAGTAATCATTTGGAAATAAAATGTCCATACAGGATGAGCAATCATAATATTTTGAATAAAATTATTAACAATATCTCCATGTGCTTTTTTTTTCATCACCTAAAGTTTGATAAGTCTCATTTTGTATTTGAGATATATGACTCATTTGAGATATATGACTCATTATTATAATCAACTACTTAAAAGTAACAGGATTCTTTTAATTATTGAATGCATACATTTACTTATGAAATAATTCAAAGTGTATCTTAAAGAAAGACAGATTAAAAATGGATTTCATATTCAAAGAAACAGTAATATCGACCTTGGTTCTGGAAGAATTTAAATTTCTTTAGGTTTTAAATTTTGACAAATTATTACAAAATAATTTTTTTTCTAATAACATGAATTTTGATTTATAAAACCTTTTTGTTCTGTAAATAAATTTCTTTTGGTTTCATATAAAAGCTGATTCTAAAAGGAAATATAATAATGTGGCATTCCTGGCTGAGTCATTCAAAATTGCAGTGATACTGTACAAAAATAAAAACATAACCAGTCCATGTGTTTCTAAATACAGTTATGAGGGGAAAATTTGGAAATTTACCAACAAAAACCAAACAATGTTAATATCAATAGAATTTTTTTACAGTTGTCTTTCAATTGATAAGATCAAATACGAAAGCAAACAGGATGCAATTTATAGTTGGTGACCTATGCAACCCCATTTCCTGCTTAGAGGCTAGCATTACACAGTATATTACTCCATGGTACCAATTGATGTACAGTACACTTTATGCTACAAAAATCCTGCTGAGGCAGGAACAAATTTAGTATTCAATGATAAAATTGGTAATAAGCCTACTTATATATGAATCCTTATGGCCAAATATAACAAGATTTTAAGCAACTAAACTATTAAAAAGAATGTTTAATAGTAAAATAAGATTCAAAATTTAGTGCTATGTAGTGCCTTTACATTCAACTTATTTTAAAATACTCTTTACTGTACAGGTTTAAATATGATCATGTGAAGTACTCTTTTTTAAATATAAATACATAACATGTATTGGCAGGCTTATGCATATTAGATACCCTTATGAACTGACTGACAATGCTGTTGACTGATGCTGAAACTTTTTAATAATCTATGCTATGTTTTTAGATGCTTGGATGTGTTTCTTATAATATAAATATACATGTATTTGATTTTATCAAGTCATGCTTGTTTGTACTGTATCACACACAATTATTTTGGTTAGCTTAAGGTACACAAAATATCTTTATGGGCACCCTGAGAAATATTTTTTTTTTTGATAATTGATTAGTCGATCACTACCAGTATCTGTTTTTTTTTTTGAATGGATAGTTTAGTTAAATATGGAATGTTCTTCCAACCTTATTAATACCTAGCCGGTAGCAGACACAGTTGGGCAAGGTTCTCATCTGTGAGCTAGAAGAAATACTCAACACACAGGGATAAATTTCCCTCTGCCTCTGCAGTCAGCAAAACCATGCGTTCCATCGGGTCCCCTTGGATTCCGTATGATACCACACAATGCCGCAGAATGTCGCATCAAACTTGGACTACCAGATGGACTGTTTCCACCAATAGGCGACGATGACTCTGCTGCTAGGAGACGACGCCTACGCACCCAGGGGCTGCCACTTCCTTCCGAAAGCGATCCTTCAGTGTATTTGTGTCCTGATTCGGGACTTCCTCTAGGACTGTTCTTTGGACTTGCTCGGTTACTCTCGGCCAATGGTGAGCGGCCTATGATTTTTTTCTGGACACGGGGGCTGCTGTGAGGACTGTTTATTGGACTGGATTTTGGTGTAGTAGCTGGGCTTAAATGATTAGGGCTCCTTGCTGGTGGAATTGCTACAGGTTTACTTTGTTGTCGTCTGCCTGTTGAGGGTGAAAGGTCCGGCTCTGAAGAGCTATTGTCGCCTTCGCGTGCTAACTCTTCAATGCGGTTTTTCTTCTTCTTTTGTCGACGACGCCGCTTTTCATCACCCTTCATGCTCCCATCAGATTCTGCCCCACTACCAACTGGAGTCAAAAGCTTCTGCTGTGGAGAGAGACTTTCACGTCCATCTTCTTTTTTTAAAGCCTCCTTTTTGTTTTTTTTGGGGGCCAATAATGTGACGTGCATACTAGTACGCCAGTTATCATCATTATTCATCATTTTAACAGCATTTGTGGCAGATTCAGACTTTTCAAATTCCACCAAAGCACACAGAGTATTTCCAATTTCATAATGTTTACCCATATGTTTGCGGATGTCTTGGGGGATGGTCTTTCCGGGGCGGATGATACGTACAAGACTGATTTCGCCACATTGCTTAAACAGCTCATTAACATTCTCAATGGTAGGGTTCTGAGATGGCAGATTAACGACAAGAACTGTTCGTGATGGCGTTGTTTCATCGTATTCGGGCAGTGGTTCCTTCCTCTTTACTTTCTTACCATCAGGATTAACAATTAAACTAACTGATTTCTGCTGTAAACTATAACGAACACTTCGCCAGTCCTTCGTTAATTTCTTTACTTTTTTGAAAGAAGTAATGAGTTTGAGACTTACGTAGCCTTCACGATTGCGTTTTACATGCTTCAGAAGGAAAGCATCTTTCGTTATGTTTGCGTCCGAAAAGTAAAATTCCACTTGTTTTACCACCTTTGCTTGTAATTCCTCATCTGGTGGTTGCCACTCTTTATTGTTATTTTCAATGTCACTTTTACTTTTCTTTTCATTCTGTTTCAGTCCATTTTCTTTGTTCTCAATATTAAGGTCTTCCTCGGCGTCTTCAAACTGTTCTTCGTCACTATCAGATATGGAGGCCTGGCTATCAATGCTGTCTATTTCGCTCCCATCCGTCGCCCGCCCCTCCTCCTTCACTCGTGAGATCTGAACAACAGGCGGTGGTGTTTTACTCAACGATGAGTCTAGAATTTCCTCGGCTTCTGAACCGTTTAAGGCCATATTCAAAGCATGAACTTCACTCATATTCAGCAGAATTTATTCGCTTTTTCAACGACAATTCCAGCGAATTTTCCGCCTCGAATTTGGCTTCCTATCGGTCAGAACTCCGTCTCAATAAATGAACGTGTATCAACTCCCCACTCGTCACACACGATACTATAGCGATGACTAAACCTAAACATCAACCATATAGTGTGAAAGGCGTTTGTTGATTGGTCAGAATATTAAGTTCAAAGTGGTGGGTTTGTAACAGGAGGGTTCTAAAATTAATGTTCACTCGCCAGTGGAAGATGTACAATTAACTACTATTTTACTTTAGCACATAATATCTATTGTTTATAATTTGTGAAAAATATACACATAATGAATAAAAATAGCGACAAAGCTACAAAATTTACATCGTAATAAAATGGGGACTTCCCTATGGGTAAGTCAATACTAACCAATCGGATCACTGCTTTCAGACTATTTTCGGATGACGCAATCTAGCTACTTCCGTGTTTACGCAATCAAAGGTCGGTAATAGTTCAAACAAAGTAGATAGCTACGTCATGTATGTGAAAGGAAGCCAACGGTGGTGATGATAATTTATATTAGTGAATTATTAATTTCAGCGTGCGTGGTGTTTAGTGGGTGGCTGGCCACATGATGATTCAAGCATCACATGTTCTGTTTATTGGCCAGTAGTAAAACACTTTATACTCAATCAAATCAGTCTTAATTGAAAATATAAAATCACAAAGAAATAATTTTGCAGGGTACCAATACAGACAGTAGGCCTACCTTTTAATTATAACATAATTAATATTAAATATAACCTCATATGTTGCTTTACAGCATTATAACAATACATTTTAAAAACAATACAATAGACCTACCTTTTAATTATAACATAATTAATATTAAATAATAACCTTATGTTGCTTCTACAGCATTATAACCTAACAATAACTTTTTAAAAATTCAAAAATAATAACGTACAAGATTCGTAATGAAAGCCACCAACACAAATCACCTCATTCATGCCCCCACTTCATACAGAAAATAAATAAAGGGTTTAAATAAACATAAGTGTCCGAGCGTGAATCTTGGCCTTACTTTTACTTTGAGACTAGCAGTGAAAATCACCAACACAAGTTACCTCAGTCATGCCGCCATTTCTTTCCAAAAATAAATGAAGGGTTTTAATAAACAGGGGTACGTCCTAGCGTGCACCCTAGTCTTAAGATTTACTTTATACAGGCCTAGTATTGTGTTGGACCTATGGTGAAATGTTTTGACAAGAAATTATTGATGTCTATTGTATTGGCAAATCAAGTTATTATCATCCTCGCTAAATAAAAGGATCGATTATGAGAATATGATACCATTACACATTACAAGCAGTAACGTTATAAAACCTACCGTACATCCACTGTTTCCATCGTTAATATATCGTGAAGCTGGAGTTACCCTCACTGTAGAAGCTACCGCATATCTATTGTTATAATTATCATCAACTTAATCATCATTTATATTACTATTTATGCCATTATTATATAATTTAGGCCTATTATTATTAGTATTACTATTATTTGTATTTTTATTATTATTATTAGGCTTATTATTATTATTAATTATTATTATTACTATTATTATTATTATTATTCATTATTCATATTATCATTTTATTATCATCATCATTATTATCCTCATAATAGTTGTTAATAAATAGGCCTAATCATGGTCATGATCATGATCATCATCATCATCATCACCATCATCATTCCAACGCTCAATCTCGAAAGAAATCAAGAATAAACTGTGTATACACTTAACAGAATCTTTGATGTTGAATTGTAAGTACTTATGGCACAGTTACTATAGTTACATGTGCGTGGAATGCTTCATTAGGAGCATCGTTGCATTACAACATGAGCTTACTAAACAGTGCTGTTTGCGCGTGTTATAAAAAAAACACCAGATGATGACGTCATGCAAACGGGAAATGAATTTTGCGATTAGCGCTTCAAGATCTAAAACTGAAATCGAGAAGATGTCGAATACATTAACAACTAATTTCAAATGTTGCAACTGCAAAACATATCAATCAAAGCAGAAATGCCCTTTAAAGTGACAATCTCAAAAGTACACGCCTAGGCTCGTCACGACGACATCCTCAGCCTCAATCCACAAAAATTCTGCATTTTTGGCGTAAGACGGCTTGACCGAAATCCTAGTGATCTGACCCCCGACTGTCGAATTCACCCCCACCATCACCATCACTACCACCACCTCCATTTTAGGGAATTCGACCTGGGAAGCCTAGTGAGTCTAGTACATTTCATTTGGGGAGGGGAGTTCTTGTCATACCGGTCCCAAATCGATAATTCTAAAGCGGTTTAAAGTCTAGCCATATTCCTGCTGAATTTTAGCTAATCAAAATTGTAACCACTCAGTTAAATCGATTATTAGGCATTAAATTAATCATTTTATTAAACATTTCATTCTTGTACATCGTTTTTTACATAGTGCCTAGCCTATAGGCCTATTACTAATGGCGCAATGATAATTCAATGAAAAAGCCTAACTTGCCTGCCATCAGAGTAGATCACACAAACATTAAATTAAAACATTCCACAGATAATACAAAAGAGGATCGACTATCTTCGATACGTACATGATGGGTAGGAAAAAAACCGTTTTCTAATTTCCATAGGCCTACATATTACTACATAAGTGCGTGATACTAACCAGCAAACATGTGCTTATGTCCGAAGGTCGTTAATACAACGTTTTAAAGCAACATAGCAATGCTATTATGAAATTATGTTATAAATAGGCTACGTATGGTTTTACAAGTTGTACGTTTTGTACATCAAGCTGTAACGATATTATAGCGTAAAATATAGAAAGCTTTTCAAACAGGCATAAATGAGGGCTCACCAGTTTACAAAGCCAAGGACTGGTACTTTAATGACAGTGATGAGGTGTTGAAGGATATATCTTTGCATGTTAACGACTATCTCAGATCTGCCTGTTTTTCTTTCGTTGTTGAGTTACTGTTGATAGGCCCTACGTATGATGAATTGATTTGCGTCAGTATTAGCACCGTATAAATATTTTTTCATTGATTGTATTCCAAATGGCGCGTGCGTAGTCAGTCTGTAAATAGTTGATGAGAGTGCTGGCGATTTGCGTCAGAGTTCCTATTTAGAATATTAATGCTAATAGAAAACAACAACCGAACCATGATCATAATAATTGTTTTGAATGGGCCTAGTTAAATCATGTAAAATAGAGTAATTCTGGGTAAATAAGATGACTATTTTTTTAGAAGCCTATCCTTGCACAATATTGTAAAAGCATTTAAAAACCCCGTTGCAGAATCAGTATAAGTTATATTTAGGCCTACGGCGCATGCTGTCTCCGCAAATTCATCTTCTATTCACATTCATCCATTAACGTCCGGTAACCATGGAGATTAACCACATTGCGTAGGCCTACTGTATTTTTGTTCATTATGTCACATGAAATGAAAAAATAATGAACCGCACACACACTATTTGTTTCATTTTATATTTGAAAGTGTTTTATGGTGTTTTATGGTCTGCTGTCTGTCCACTACAGGCTGCAATAACTGTATCACTTCAAACCGTGATGAATCTCCATGTGCGTTCGTTCAGCTTCCGAAACAATCGTCTCGAGTCATCTTTCAAATTTTCTCTGCCACAAATCGAATCACATGGCCCTTCCTCGTGATTAATTCAATTTAAAAATAAATTCGCAAAGTTTAAACGTACAGAGTTCGATGAACTTATACCTAAACGGTATGGGACCGTACTAGACCATCGGCCCTAAGAGTCGTAATTTAGTAGTTCATCAATTAACAGCAGACATAGATTAAATTAAATTTACATAACCAATAATAGAACATTGGAAAGCAATTATAACCAATTCTAAAAAAAAGTCAAAATCATTATCGGTAAAAAGTATGTTGAGAGAAAACAGATGGGAGAAAACGGTTAAGCTTCATCCACAGTCGAAACCACAAAATGGTTTACAATTAAACATTGCAGCCTAGACCCGATTCAAGATACAGTACTTGGAACACTTTTTCAGCTGAATGTTTTCCTTATTTCCTTTCATCTTGCAAATTTTAAATCTTGTGTAAACCGTTTTCTTTCAACTATTCTAACCCCTTACCTTGAGTGGCCCTTGACCTTGTTTAGGGTGAACATAAAAATTGTAATTTATTTATTTATTATTTATATTGTTAAATTGCAATTAGGCTTTCTGTATAGGCCCAGATTAATAATAATGATTCATATAAATGATTATGATGATAAATTTAATTACAGAAGAATCTCTATTAAGGGGACACCTTCGGGACCAAACAAGTGCCCTTTAATAGGGGTACCCCTCTTCAAGGAACACTAACCAACAGTATTTAATTGTCCCCTTTATAGGAATTTTTGGCATGTTTTCTTATAATGATGACATATATTATTTATAATTCATGGAAAGCGCAAAGAGGCACTGCGCAATATGCGCTATAAATGTAACACTAGGCCCTATTATTATTAGGCCTAATTAATATAATTTGCAATGCAAAAAATAATTAATTTATATGAAATCAACAGAGGTAATCAAAACAAAAGTTGTATATTATACGCTCCCGATATCGTTTCTTTATTAGAGTGCAATGCTCATGACCAAATATTCTTTTTTTTAAATATTGAGCTTTCTATTGCATGCAAAAGATAGAATGAATAGAGTAATGACTTAGAAATCAGAGTGCAGGCTGTACGGTATAGATTAGCATTCTATTATGAAAATAAATGAAACAAGAAAGGTTAATGGTATAATTGAGAAGTACCACATTTATACAAAGTACCACATGCACTAGGCATATATAATATAATTACTACTTACTTAGTCCTCTTCATCCCCTTTGGGACATAAGGCTGCAAAAAAGTTCCTCCACACCAGTTTATCCTTGGCCATCATCTCTGCTGATTCCCATTTCTCGGTTTCTAATTCAGCCATAATTGTTCTTCGCCATGTAGTTTTTGGTCTGCCCCTATTTCTTTTCCCTTTTGGGAGTCCATCTGAGTGCTACTTTTGGGATATGATGTTGTGTCATTCTGAGAACATGGCCCAACCACCTCCTTCTTCGGCGTCGTATTTAGTGTTAC